TTTGGACAGAACATCATGGCCTTTGTGCTTCTCTCCATGGTCTCGCCTGTCACATATTCGGTTGCGAGTCTCCTCAAGCGCGTGTTTGTCATAGTAATGGCGATATTGTGGTTTCGAAATCCTACGACACCGATCCAGGCTGTCGGCATCGGGCTGACCTTCATCGGACTATACCTCTACGATCGTACGAGTGAAAGCAACAAGGCAGATCGGAAAGTTCGCATGATGGCTGAAACGAAAGCAACTTCTCCACTCCTCCCACTCAACAGTACTCAAATTCGCCCGGGAAGCCGTCACGGCACCCCATCTGCAGGCACCAGTGCTCACCCCTATAATGACGGGTACTTTGGGTCTCTATCCGGTGCGGAAGATTCGAAGAAGAACGACGAAACCTCAAGTCGAGGCCGAGCTCGTGGTCAAAGCAATGCCGGGTGGCTCCCACCAGGCACCAAGCAAGAGGAGACTTGGAAAATGGGTACAAGAGCTGTCGGTGTCTCGTAACGAAACCCAGACGGTCGGCGTACTGACTTGTACAACCCTTCAATTCTGTCATCATATTACTTTATTTCGATTTTTCACTTCCTCTTTTTCAAAGTCTTCATTCGCCAATCGAAGACACATACAAGGCTTGAAAACATGATACATTAGACTGTGCGGTTGATCTCGGGATTGTTCCACGGCTCACTGACATAAACGTGCATTTGAAGGTTGGATATTGGCGTTAATAGATGAACTAGGAAAGCCATTGATCGTGACGAGGAAACGGCCCATGATTGTTTGAATTCGGAGTTTTCCAGTGGAGGAACTTGGGTAGGAGGAGCATTATACAATATATATGATTTACTTGTATCTGTTTATACATGTTATGTGCTGTCAACATGTCCTGAAGCATACCGCCAACCAGTCGTAGGGAACCTATGTGCATATATGTGTCCAATTGCGCTCGCCGACCTGATGAGTTCGCGACCTTGGTCAGTCAATAAGCCACTCTTCCACCTCGACCCCTATACTACGACCTACGCCTCGTACTACATCCCATCCAACATTGATCCGCCATTTCCCCCCCCTATCCATTACATCACCTCCAGTCCCAACGCGATGCAGCAGCCTCAGGCTTGTGAGGGTAGAGAGTGCCATTCCCACATCACCATCCAAACCTCCTTTCCCCAGGGTGAGATGATCGATCCATTCCAATCGGACAGCCGCGAAGATAGCGAGCATACGTTCGAGCACAAATACATGGGCTCCTAGAAGTTTACGTGCTATCTTGCGGTGTTTGGACGAAGATCCATTGGCTCGACGATTCCTGCGGCCCAGTGAATGATGCGTAGAAAAAAGGGATTGGTCGTGCCGGGTAGCATTGTGTGACGCCAGGTAGGCGCAAAGAAGAAGAATGCGGGCCGTCTTGGGCAGGAGGGCAGGGAGATCAGCTCCAACCTTGCCCGTGATGGGGCCTTGCCCAGGTCGTCTCGACACGATGCTAGGGTTGAGAACACTCTCGTCCTGAAAATGGGTTCTTCCTGCGACGAGCAATTTCGAAAACTCTGCGGGCTTATGGAGACCCTTTTCCACGGGGTCGACGAATCGGGGCCAGAGGATTTCACAGGCTCGTCGGAAGGCTGGCAATGATCGAGCGGCAGACCGAACAAGAGCGTCATAGACAGCGGCACAGAATCGAGGCCACAGATCGGCGATTTCTTGTGAAGTGACGTTGGCAACCGGGAGTTGCGGTGGTGTGAGCGAGAGGATACGGATGAGTTCTGTCTTCTCGTAGGGCGGAAAAAGGAGGCTTGGGGATGAAGGGGCGCGAAGGTGATCAGCGCGAGGTCCAGTCATGATGAAGACTACTGTGAGGCAGGGAATCTACGACAAGTCCTGTAAGTAGACGCCAACAACTTCGGATGGAAGGGAGGCTCACAATTTCGGATAACCTTGCCATGGCAGGTATTAGGGTAGGAGGCGCATCTCGGGCTCTATCAAGGGCATCGAGAACCAGAACGAACCGAAAATCAGTGTCCTTGGTTTCATACTTGAGAAACTGGCACAACTCGACATCCAATTGAGCCAATGTCTCGCACCGGGTGCGCTGTCTGTTGCTGGAAGCATCGAGGGATTCGGATACGGCAGACACGATTGACTCGAATAGGTGCCTGGCAGTGATGCATTGGTCGGCGTGGACGACGCAATATCGGAGAGTTGACACATGTCGGGCAATATTTCGAAGAAGTGAGGTTATCACGGCGGTTTTTCCGGTCGCTTCGACGCCGTGCACAGTAAGATTCCGGCAGGGGGCCGCAGAAGGCTACATGTAAGTTAGTCAATGCAGTCGAAGGAGGAGCTTCCGAGGGTATCTCACAGTAAGAAGTGTGGCTAGTGATCGTATCTGCCGTTCTCGGCAAGGAAACTTCTGAAGAATAGGTCCCAGAATCAGCTCATCCGGAAGCTGGTAGAGGGACGGGGTTGCCATGGTGCTGGTGGAATTCATTGCGTTGCGAATGTCGTAAGTCGCGGATGTTCAGACGCGTCGAGTTGGAAATTGTAGGCAAGGTCACTCTTATCTTATCGCTATGTGACTGCCACATACAAACGATGACATAAAACACAGCACCAAGGCCACCGACGGTGATTTTCAACGTAATCAAACCCAGTCTACCAAACAAGTGATAAATTACTAAGACTATAGCTATAGTACTTTGTTGTTTTCTGATTGTTGTGATTATTATTGCCAACCAAGGAATCACACCGAACCATACTTCAATTACTATGACAGACGGAGACCCCAGTACATACTGTATCCTACCCTAGAGCGGTCTCTGTCCACCAACGCCCAATTTCCTCTTAGCCATCAATGGATGTGAAGAAGTGTGATGCTTGAAATGGGGATTTATCAAGCATTCGCAACCTATACGGAACCTTTCCCTATACCAAATCTAGAGAAGCTGCCTTGGCAGTAAACGAGAGATGATACCCAACGGCAAGCCTACCTATGTCTACCCCCTATACCTACATCATGCCTGACACACGATGAGAGCCGCAATGAATACTTACCATAGCCACAGCAATACTAGGATGGGTAACTACCTGACTTAAGAGCTGTAGAATTTCGCGTTGCATGATCGACTGGCGTATGGGCTTGTGGTTGCTCATTTTGCGTAACAACATGGTTGCAGCCATCGGGCGATATTATGCCCAGCTTGAGTCAGGCTAAGCACGCTCGTTCAAGGTCACCTAAGAGCTGATCGTATCCCTACTTAGGCCTGGCCGGTTTCTTGATATTTTTTGTTATGTTCTATTAGACCTTGTCGTATGCTCCCTTTTGTGAAGCATCTTGACATAATCGAGGTCTAGCACTTACACGACAAAGTTCCATTCAAGAATTATCAAGCTGCTGCCCATAGACCTCTTCGACAATAATGTTGGATTGAACATATTCGTATACCCAAAGCCCAGCTAATATACCCAAGGAGGATAAAATCAAACAAAATTAAAAAAATAGAACCAGTCGTTACAGGAGATTGCGCAACAAATTCTGTCAAGTCCTCCATTTAATAACCAGGGCCCCTGTATGTTTGCCTTGGTTTTCACACATGGTGGTCTCCAACTAAGCCCCTCCGTAAAATGGCATAGTAGCCTAGAACAAGCAGATACAGAAGTTACGGGATCTCAAGTTCGGAGTTATAATAGTAGCTTGCTTGAAACACATGTAAAGACCACCATATCTCCGAAGATTGAATGAGCGTATTACAGAATGATGTTTCGGCCTCAATATTTTATACTACCGGTATATGATCGAGTAGAGCAATACAAATACGGCTTGATGAGATTGTTGTGGGGGCATGCACGGCATTGTTGAGAGTGACTCGGAGACGTATGCATCAGAACTTCGCTAAGTTGAGGTAACGGACGTAACCGAATTTGCTCGTGAATTATCTAGCTCTATGTTTAATCGATGAAAAGAACTCAAATGGTGGCGGGGCTGCGTTGAAGAATGAAGGTGACGGAAGAAGTCTGAAGCCCAACTGATAACCAGGCCAGCCAAAGCCACAAACCAGAGCTTGATACAAGTGTGTTGTCGTACATGAAAGGATGTAATCCCCTAACAGCGGTGCACGACGTTACAAGGTCCATGTATTTTTGGAAAATATTTACATTCCGGACGCATCTTCAGAAGTAATTTGCTAAATCCCTCCGAGGAGAAGCAACATAGCCAGCCGGAATTTTAGTTCTAGTTATTCTCTACAATTACAGCTTACACCTATAGATATTATCAAGAAGCTGAAGTAGAACATGATGTCCTCCTTGCATTGGTCGTACCATCTGGGATTGGGGTTCTGGTGCCATCTAACACAGTTCCCCAGCCTTGAATGTATCCATGTTGGTAGATATGTATAAGACTATGGCAAGAGCAATCCATGCCACAAAAGGAGTGTTAGATTGTCTTTGAGACTAATAGAATGATGGTTTACGAAGAAGAAGCCACCATCACTGCATCGTAGCGTGGCATCAAGGTCCTGAAGTTCCAGCGAATGAAGCAGAGCTGACTTAGGAGAGTCCGGGTAGTCTTTTTAGAGAGCTGGCTATTCTGGAAACGAATACCAGCTAGTCAAATATGGCAAATGGTCTTATGAACCAAAGGTGAGAAATATAGCCTTTTTTCGAGATTACTTGGCATTGTCATAATTTATGATTCACACTTACAATAATTGGAAAGAGTGGCATCTTTGCCAGTGGTAATATACCCCGCGAACACTAAGAGAGATTCCGTCCATACGCAATATACAAGTCCCCCCTTTCAGTAAAGATCGAATAGCCTATCGAAGGTGGGAATGGGTGCCCATCATTTCCCCCAGCGCTATTTCTGGCACCAGATTGGAGGTATTTGGACTACCGGTCTCCTTCAGGTCACAGCTCACTGCCCTCTCAATGGACGAATGGTCACTTGCGTATCAGGGCAACCCAGTTCGCTAAGCTACCAAGAGAAGCTTCTCAACTAATTCTATCTACTGTTTGCAGGCTACTTTCGGTGGCCTGGCCTTGACTGTGCCGCGCTCGTCGCCCTCCACCTGGGACTTCGTGGTGGTCGATTTGGCTCCTTTCCTGCATTCCTTCTTGGCCCATTCGTCGCCCCTATGAATGGCCCAGATCAGGCCCATTGCCGAGACTACTAAGAGACCAGAGGAGATCGTCGAGAACCACCCAACCCCGATGGCCTGAACAATCGGTAGAACCACTGCCGTCGACAGGCATCCTGCTAGGTACCGCACAAAGAAGTTGGCCGCCGTAACCTCGGCGCTTTTGTCTGGCATCACATCTAGGCAGTACGTGTTTAGCGACGGGAAGCAGAATAACTGTCCTACACCCTGGATGAACATCATGACCACTGGCACAGCGATGCCCCCGGCCTGTTTCTCTACTGTCCACCCATATACTAGAATGCAGGCCGGGATCAAACCACCGAGGAATGGCAGCGAAGACCGCAATCGATCCTCCGCGACCCTTGACCCTCGTTTCTGGATCCAGCGCTTGACAGTCCAATCTGCCCAACGACCTCCCATAAATGTTCCGACGATGTAACCAACACCAGGAGCTAGGTAGAAGAGACCTGCTAGTAGAGGAGTCTCAAGATGGAAACGTGGATTGAGGACATAGCGGATCGGAGTTAGTAAGCCGTACATATTCCAGACGAGTGTCGAGCTTGCACCTGCGACCAGGCAGAGATTCAAATGTTTGAACCATCGAAGTACACGGATCGGGTTGATCATGTGCAGAAGAGCCCTGGTCTTCTCACGTCTTGAGTAGCCCTTTAGATCGTTGATCCGTTTGTGATGGATTGTCTCGGGGACAAGGAAGAAGACTCCCAAAAACCCCACGCCAGCCAAGGCCGTTTGCACCCAAAATATGGTTCTCCATGAAGAGTATGTGACAATGATACCGCCCAGAAAGGGCCCAAAAGCTGGTCCGAAAAGGGTACCCGACATGAACCAACCTATCGCGGTTCCGCGCTCTATGGGGGGGTAAATGTCTCTATTGTTTCGTGAGCTCCGGATCCCCAACAGTATCAATGGGAGGAATTCCAGCGGCCCCGCCATTTCTCTGAGTCAAGAAGTGGGATTAGTTGCTTACCCCAAGCAGGCTGCGCCGATAAGGATGAAGGCTGTTCCTTCAAAGGCGGATATGGCACGGAAGACAAAAAACAAAGCTATATTCGGAGCCAATGCTGTTCCGAGGCTGAGCAAGAAGAAGGCAACGGCAGTGATTAAGGTGATCTAGACAGGGTTAGTCTCCATCACGGCAGTCATGTCTCGTAGTGTAGCCGGGTAGCAGGCAGTGATAACTCACGATTCGTCTACCAAAGACTTGGCTCATCGGGCCCCATACAACAGGTGAGAGACCCATGAAGACCATGTAACCAGCATTGCTGATATTAATTATGGAACCTGTTGTATTGTATTCCCGGGCGACTTCCGGAGTTGCTGCTAGCACACTTGTGCTTGAAATGGGTGACAGGAAGGCACAAAATGACATCACAGCCAAGATGACAATCTTCTTCTTCCCAGACAGCCGGTCATAGACTTCGTCACCCACCTCCCGATACGGGTGGTCGTACTCTGTCTCGGCATGAGCTTCGAGTGCTTCTGGGCCTGACATACGAGAGGTCGTCCGGTACATGTTGTCTGCTGGGGCCGGTCTGATGGATTCTACCTCAATCGACGACTGGCGCAAGCTGTTCTGGGAGTTTCGCTGTGCCAACGACATTTCGTGTTGGGGCTGCGTTGGTTGTGCCATGACTTATTACGCACTGATTTTCAGCGGACACTCTCGTGTGGTTCCGGGTGGGTAAATACAGCAGTAGTTTCCGGACACATACGACTTCTCGTTGCCGGTAAAAGTAGCGGAGCGAATGGGTTCCCTTTCAGAGCTTTGAAGAAAGAGAGCATCAGGAGAGGACGTCCTGGAATGAAAGATAAGACCATCAATTGATACGGATGCGAGAGGCTAGAAAGAAATATCCCATCTACTATAGAGAAGAGACCAATGGCAGTGGTGGTAGGTCTACAAACAGCCTGAGGAAGAGCCAGCCGGCCCAGAACAGATGGACGTAGGCCAAGGCCCGTCTTCGCCTTTTATCAACCACGGCTGACTCCATACCCCGAGAATCGGTCCTGTCTGTCTCCACTGTCTGACCTCTTTAGGGAACCGGGAGGCTATCATACTACATGCCGCCGCCTTTGACCCGGGTTATGCCCGTAGAGTCATGGCTAGGAGACCTCTTTGGTTGTGGCGTCGCCAAAGCTATGCTGGGTGCTGCTGCGATAATAGTTGACCAGCCAAATTCCAAAGAGGAAGGCCCTCATATTTGATATGAATGAGCATTGAAATGTTGTGGGATTCCACTAGGAGAAGACGATGATAATACGAGCCAGCAAACCTGTGCAACAGGCGTGTTGACCAGCTGGATCGGTCAGGGAGTGGAGGCATTAGCGGGAGCCGATTTCCGACACCGTCCCGATTTCCCCGCGATATCGCGTCGGATATCCGCCGACGAACAGGGGTATGAAGGACGATGTCGGCGGAAGGATATCCAAATGTGAAAATTTGAGAGATACGACGGATATTAGACGAGAACGAGCTCAACAATCAAGAGTATAGTGACATGCTCCGTCAACTTGAACCATCTTAATCCTGTGCCAACCGGGCATCAAAGTACCCAGCACTCGCATAAGCTCGGCATCGAGATGAGATGTCTGGCTTTTCCTCGTCAAAGCTTCCCTTAAGCCGTATAGAGCGACCACAACTAGCAGGGTATTTACATGCTGCTGCTCACCAGTTTTCAGACCTGATGAACTCTCGTGATATCACTATTAACTGTATCAGTCAAAACTAACCGTATTGTGATACAGCAGATAAAGTGCAAACTAAGAGCGCTCTTTCTATTATCACTATGCGGTTTGGAGAAAGGCCTGCTCATGAAGAAAACCATCAAAGTGACTTTGTCGACGTTCCGCCATGATTTTGCCGACAAAGATTGGCTAAAGGGTTGCATAAAGAACCAGTGGAGCCGTAAACCATAGTTTTATCGCTATGTAACTTTTCAAATGATTCACATTATTCAAATCGCTCATACGGCTCATGATACTAAGTAGATCTACTGTGTGATTTTTTTTTGGCGATCTCGCCTGAATAAGTTATTTAATTTCCTTTTCAATCTATTCATTACCAAGGACGGTCTTCTTACGTTGGACGATACGAAGAGCCCAGCATTTCTTTTTATAATGTCTTTCTACATAAAAAGACGAAGGATGACTAGCGAGTATCACTCTTTTTGGGGATCTGAGTTGTTACATTATATCAGTAATATGTGAGTCTATATACGAAAGATAAAGCAATTTGGGAGAGGCAAATTTAGTGATATTTGACCTGGAAAATGCTCTTCATGCTCATTGACGGTGCACCGTAGGCCTTCTAATAGCCTCTAACAGATGGCTAAAAGCTAGAGAAAGTTTAACTGAAAATTATTGATGGGCTTAGCTCTATGCAAATAAATTGTTTTGAAGGAAACGGCAGGTGCATAATCTTCATGCAATGCAGTTATCTGAATCGTGTGGACGGCAAGGACGGGTTTGTGTTGTGAACTCAGAATCATTGAGCTTAGACTCCTGACTCTTCCATGTGGACATAATAAGTAGAATCACTTACTTTTGGAGGCAACCACAGCGCTGGAAGGCTAACTGACACAGCATCCTCGGCTATGGCCAGTTATTGATTGCATGCGTGATGGATGCTGGTGCTGGCATCATTGCCCCCCAAGTCGACACTGCAGTGCAAATTCATGTTGTCATCTCAGCCACTAAATTTGGAGCCAAGACCAATGGCACTCGCTCAGCGCCAACGTTCCGCCTGATACCCAGTATCAGTGAGGGATGATGCTAGGTGATGACCTGCACCAGTCTCTGAACAATCAGGCAGCCGTCATGGTCCAAATCGAGAGTCTGGCAGGCATTGAAATCCTTGATGACTTTCTCACCGAGTGCCCTGATGTCGACATGGCCTTCCTCGGTGCTCTCGATGCCCGTGTTTGTATGAGCCTACCCGCCAACGCCGGCATGGATTGCTGTTGCTGCACTGGACAAGTTCAAGGCTACTATGGAAAAGCACAACAAGCCCCTAGCCGTCTTCAAATTTGGAGAAGAAAAAAACATCAAGAAGCTGGACGCCCTGGAGGCCGGGTATTCAATGCTTATTTTCGATGCGAATGTCGCCGCCATCGCTGATCTGTACCATAGTTTTGCGGTGGTCAAGAAGCTCGCTGCGAAGACCTAGATATGTTCGGATTCATGCCCTTAAATTGTTCCATAAGTAGTATCCGAATTTTTGCTAGAGCTCAATAAAATAGCTAGATATGTGGAAATTACCGGATTTGTAGAGGAGAATGCTGAGGTTGCTATTTACGGTTGCCGGATTATGAGCGTCCATATCTTCAAGTTCATTCGACTTATATCAGGACTTGGGAAGCCCCTATGATCATCTAACACGCAATTTTGGAATAGAATCCCATGATTCATTTATACTATAACAATCATAAACTCTGCAATCTCATACGTTGAAAGCGTGCCGATATGGCCTTTGTATATAAAAACAGATCTAGCAAGAATGCTACATCCAGGTCTTTTTTGTATAAATTTTTCAGTCAGGAGGAGCAACCACTTTCTACCTAGCCTCTCTATCTCTATCCTCTGTTGTAACGAGCCGTAACTATAAACCGAGCCTTTGCGATTGAACAAGGGTCTTCGGCTTCTATAACTGGTGTTCAGTCCACGGTATCCCTCGTCTCAACTACCGTAGACTCCTATGTTGAGGGTTCAAATGGTTATATCTAGACGATTCTACTATGTAACCAGCCATCACTCAATGAATACTTAGAGATCATCCCTATCAAAGGAAACCATTCAGGGGATGGGAGAACGTGATTCCTGACTAGCGTCGTCGTGGCATTAGATGATGTTGAACATTAGTCGATATATGTTTAACCAAGTCGTAGCTTGTATCCCTAGCCGGCGATTGATCCGCAAAAGATCCATTGCCGCCTAGACTTCACAGGGGTGTGTCTGACAGCCAATGCTCCTTCACCCAGAAGCGTGTACCTAGAATCAGCACAGACGTAGTGAACATGATGCAGAGTACTTGATCGGAGATGTAGGAGCTGCTTATCGATCAGGTGAAGTCTCAGACTGGATTAATGTGGACGACTACTCTTGCGTGTTGTAAGAGACGCTCTTGTTTGCGGTCATGTATCCCGCGCAGAGCCAAAAGCTCGGTGAAGCTTCCATTTCTGCGAAGGGCTGTGTATTGATAACATTGTCTTATTTTCATCGTTTCAGTAGATATCGAAAGCCGTCTAGTATGTGAATGGCGCTGCACGGTATTACATATCACGGCTTGAATGACCCCCATCATTCCAGAGACTCTGTTCCAGCAACTCCTCCAGGTTGCCAAGTTGTACACCTTGAAACGAACTCCATCTAGGCGGCTTCCCAGACTGCATGCCCAAAACTGGCCGCGGGCCGGTGGACAAAGGGCGGACCAGGTTCATGGCCAAGGTCGCGCGGTTGAGTTCGTACGGGTTGTCCGCGTGTATACCTGACCCCGGTATTAACTCTATTGATGTGCCCTTCTCTAAGCGCCCTGGCCACCACGCGTAGGCGGATACTGCCGGGCTGAATTCGACCACATACTGATCGCCTTGCACGTCAACAATACGCGCCGGCATATATAGCTGTGAGTTTTCGGATACATGACGGGTGCGTTGATAGAGTCCCCGATGTGTAAACAGCGAAACGGTCGAACATCATATTTGGTAATGTCTCTTTTCCATGGTCGCCATAGTCTTCGGGTGCCTTTTCCGAGCCTTTCCAACATCTCCTCCGAAAACAAACCGCCATGATCGTCACTACTATCGCTTCTTCTATCTTCAATGGGAGTGTCAGGCTCAGCTCGCGGTGCGATCTGGTCCCAGTCGACAAACTCGATCTCGTCTTCGTCCACTAGCGTAACTCTCGAATCATACCAAAGGCCATCATATTCGACCTAGGCAAACACACAGTGTTAGAATTCACTCACTGGATCCGACAGTGAAGCTACATGCCTGTACTTTTTCGCCAATTTTTGGAGCTTGGTAGAAAACCTTTGACGGTCCCAATAAGATAAATTCCAGCTGTGGTGTTGGAGCATCGGAGTGCGCGTCACTCTGTAGCATTCCATCGAATGAAGCCTTAATAGGAGTCGCCGAAAATGCGTGTGTATTGGCTCCAGCTCCAGCCGTGATACGATATCTTCCGCCAAAACAGGCCTTGAACTCTGCGATGTGAGTATCCGAGCTCCACCCATATTTTCCCGGTTCCAGCTCGCATCGAATGGATATTGGAGCGCCGATGTAGATGCCCCCAACTGGCCGTGTCTTCTTTAGCAGACTTTTCTGCTCTATTTGGCCCGTTTGTAAGTAGCGAACGTGGATGTAAATATCGCGAGCCGTGTCATTAAAGCAAGAAATGAAACTTTCACTACCTGCGTTTATAACTTCGTCTTCAGTCGTGATCCCCATTTCTGTCGGCGTTGGAACCGCCACAATTTGAGCAGATATCCAGCCTACATGGCCTAAAGGGGATTCTATAGATGCAGGTAGAGCGATATCGCCTGATTCCCTCTCACATTCGACCAGCACTCCAAGTCCTGCGTTCTCAAGGACGAGTTTTCTCAGCGTCTCCGACAACGACGAGCTTTGAAGAAGGCCAAAGTAGTCTTGCGGCTTGACATAACCCTTACATAGAGGGTCAAGTATTGACTGAAGAGCCGGGAGCCATAGTGGTCTGATTGTAGAGAGGCGGCGCGTGCCATAGTGGTCGATGTGATAACGATGGCCAAGTCCTCGAACAATGTCGATAGTTGGCGTTTCCCAAATTCCAGTTGGGATATTGTTCAGAACAAAGGATGATTCTATTTCGCGTACGAAGCGTGCCCATGAAACGTACAACATCTAACATGATTATGAGCATGTAGGCACATTCAGTCTTCAAATATCCAATCTCACCTCGTAACGGAAGCTGGAGGCACTCAAATCCTTCTTCTGAAACTTGTTTTTCCAGAAAGCCATTCCTTCTGGATTTGTTTTCTCATAATGCTCGATGGCAGAAGTATCAGGATGGACAATACTGTCCTCAAGCTGTTGTCGAAGGCTCTTGCACTCGTTCATAAGGTTACCCAAAATGATGTCAATGCTCGCAAAGTTGGTACTGAAATCCAGGCCATTGGCTTGGTTGTAGTCTCGCGCCATGAGAGTCGAGTATCCAGAGCTGCCCACCGCTGTAGGAGGCCGCTCTTGATTAGTTCTGATGTCCTGTAAAATCACAACCGACACAGCGCTGTGGATTTTCTGAAGCTGCTCCGCCTTGCGCTGAATCTCCGTCAGAAGCCCCGAAACTCGTTTCACAATCCATACTCGACGTATCAATTTCCTACCAAATGCCTCCTGGCTTCCATCCGCAGCCGTCTGCCCAGATGGGTCCATATCTAGAACCTTGGCGCATTTTGCGCAAGACTTAGCGATGCTCTCTAAAATGTCCAAGATTGCCACAAACTCTGAGACATGTTCCTTCAGGACGCTTTCATCAGCAGGGTTTTCGAAAACAATCAGTAAAAGCCTCAAATTCGTGGTCAGAAGCTGGAGATCTTCGGCGGCTTGATTGAGTGCATCCAGCCGCGCCTTCAGCTCAACGCCCAGCTTGATGAGGACAAGAAGGGTGGATTGAATGTCCCCGACCAGCATTGTCGCTAACTGGAGTAAGGCAATATGAATATGGGCTTGTCTAAATACACCGTGCTGCTAGCTGGTAGTGCTGCCTTTCACTGTACTTGCGCCTTCAAGGTGGAGATTCCAAGGCATATCTATTTGGTTCAATGTGATGGAGGGTAACTAACGGGCGGCACGGGAGGGTTCTTCCCCGCGTCGACCTAGGCTCTATCAGTTAAGTTAAGTTAAGTTAATAAGCAGGTGTGACTCCTCCTGGTGCGTGTATGTAGCACCGTTGTGTAATCCGGGTGAAGAACATGGCCGCTCACCCTAACCCAGGCATTGAGCCCTCCCGACGTTGTACACGCTGGGTTCAATTGCTAGAATTGGGCATTCCCTTAGGTACCTACATACATACGTAATGGCAACTCTCTTCGGTTTTGAACAGACCCCACCTCACAAAAACTACCTTGACGCCTCTGCAGCGACCCGACCTAGCTCATTCACCCCAGTATTATTGATCTCTGCATCCCAGTCATGGACGCCTGGCTCAACAAATCGGGGGCCGTGGGCTTGGGCGACCTCGATCTCGCTAACTTCCCAGAGACAGGGCGGGGTGTCAAGGCCCAGCGGATGTTCAAGGAAGGCGAAGAGATTCTTACCGTTCCAGCAAAATGTCTTTGGACCGTCAACGGCGCATATGCCGATCCGCTTTTCGGCCCAGTCCTTCAATCTGTTCAGCCGCCTCTATCTGTCGAGGACACACTGGCTTTATATATCCTCTTTGTCCGGTCGCGCGTGGGCGACCCTGCGTACGTGGAGCGTCAGACCCATGTCGCGGTGCTGCCCAGCGAGTATACTCTCAGTATGTTTTTTACGGAAGAGGAGCTGAGAGTCTGCGCTGGCTCCTCACTCTACACTCTCACTACGCATCTGAGAGGGAGAGTTGGGGACGACTATAAAAAACTACTCACCAGTGTATTCATGCGCCACCGTGACCTCTTTCCGTTGGACAAGTTTTCCTTTCAAGACGTAAGTTCGTGGCATGCATTATCTCATCATGTACTAACACGAGGCTCCATTAGTACAAATGGGCACTCAGTTCGGTATGGAGTCGTGGTATGGACTTCGTCATCTCTGAGGGCAACTCCTTTCGCCTCGTGGCCCCGTTTGCGGACATGCTGAATCACGCGTCTGATGCGAAGCAATGCCATGCCTACGATCTGTCAACCGGAAATCTCTCCGTCCTTGCCTGCAGAGACTATCAAGTTGGAGACCAGGTATGTCCCGAAGCCTATAGTCGTTAAGCTACAACTAACCTAGGTGCCCTAGATATTTATTTCATACGGCAACATTGCGAACAGTCGTTTGCTACGGCTTTACGGCTTCGTTCTGCCTGATAATCCCAATGACAATTATGAGCTTGTCCTCCAGACAAGTTCTGTGGCGCCGCTGTATGAGCAGAAACAAAAACTGTGGAAGCTCGCTGGCTTGGACGAGGTCTCGACTATTCCCCTTACTCTCAGAATTCCTCTACCAGACAGCGTTCTTCGATACCTCCGAATCCAGAGGCTGGATGAGTCTGAACTGGGTACTATGACGATGCAGATCGCGACAAAATCATATAAAAAAATCAGCGATGAGAACGAATCGCAAATCCTGCAATTCCTGAGCGAATCGATCGGAGCGCTGCTCGAGGGCTTCGGGATTCCTCTAGAAAAGCTCGAGGTGCAACTGGCAGAAGGCATGTATTCTCCAGGAAGCAATGCCTGGGCTGCTGCCCAGGTTAGCTTGGGCGAGCAGCGAGTGCTCAAGGCAGCTAAAGCAAAGACCGATGCCCTTCTGGCGTCCGTTGCGGACGGAAGCGCTTCGCTGCCTCCACCAAAGCAGTGCGCAAACTGCGGCAAAGGCTCTGAGACTGCGAGGCTAATGGCCTGTGGCAAGTGCAAGGCTGTCAAGTATTGCGGGAGGGACTGCCAGGTTGCACACTACAAGGAACATAAGGGGCTTTGTCGTTCACTCTCTGCAGGCAAGTAAATAAATACATAATCCAACGACCATAGTAATATTCTGGTGTAAGACGAGACGGAATAGGTTTCCTAGATAGACCACGAGGACAAGAAAAAGAGAAGGGCATTGTATAAGTCCTTTGGTTTTCTAGAAACCAGCGACTGGGCCGTGAGCCTAGACAGCTCTGGTCCTAGCATACTAGATCCTAGTATAATGAATCCAGATGGTGATTCCCTGCTTGCTAAACGTCTTCGTAACCCGAAGCTCGATGACTAGTGTAAGATGCCTACTAATACTAAAATAATTAAGGAGGAAGAAGTAAGGGTAGGCGAGATATAGCTTCTAAGTCTATTTATAATATAATATAATTTATTTATTACTATATAATATATAATTATATAAATTACTAAGTATTAGGAATTAATTAAACTATATATTAATAATAAAGATTTTATTATAATAAATATTATATTATATTTATAAATATAATTAATTAATTTATTTTATAAATTTAACTTTTTTAATAAATATTATTATTTATTTTTTCTTATTATAAATAAAGGTTATTTAGTTCTAAGATTAAGCTATATATATAATTATTATATATAGTTTTTAAAATATAATTTATAACTTATATTTAAACCTTTAATATTATAAAAACTTAATACTATATAATATATAATTATATAAATTACTAAGTATTAAGAATTAATAAACTTATATTATTAATAATAAAACTTCTATTATAGTAAATACTATATTATACTCTTAAATATAATAAATTAATTAATATTTTTATATTTTTAAATATTTTAATAAATAGTAATAAGTAAGAGAGCTATATAGTTATATAATAATTACTAAAAAAAAAAGGGAAATTCCTAAATACTAAGATTTAAATAACTTAATATTATACTTAATATTATAATATATTAACTTTTAGCCTTTTTACCTAATTATAAGGCTTATATTTAGCTATATATAAGGTTTAATATTAATAATAGCTTATACCTTAAATATAAATCTTTTATTAATATAACTCCTTTTATAAACCTTAAAATACTATTTTTTATTTATTTAAAAGTTATTATTCTTAGCTTTAATAGGAAAATAAGATATATATTACTATAAATATACTTAATAAAACTATATAGCTTAAGTCTATCTATAATTAATAATCTATTTATAAGTACTACCTTTATTATTATAGATAATTTAATAATATATTAATATACTTAAGTCCTTACTAAAATTAAATATTCTACTAAGCTTATACTTATTATTAATCTTATTTAATCTACTTTAATCTTATAACTATAAGTATATTAATCCTTAATATTAATTAAGATACTAAAGTATAAGCTATTAAGGGTATTAATACTTATTATTAAAGATAAATAGCTATATAATTAATTAATCCTTAAGCTTCTTACTATAAATATAAGTAATTATAAGCTTATAAATATAATTAAGATTATAAGGTTATTAAAAATTAAAATACTTTAAAACCTTAATCTTTAATAATTAATTAGTTTATTTAACTTTAATAATTATATTCTTAATAAATATTATATAATATATAGTTTATTAATTAAATTAATAATAAGTAATTAATTATTATTATTTATTATATAATATATAGTTTATTAGTAATAGGTAATTAATTATTATTATTAATTTAAAAATTCTATATTAATAACTCCTATATTAAAATATACTAAATATAAATTAACCTTTAATAAACTTTTCCTTTAATTTTAACCTCTTTAATAATTAATAGACTTTCCTAAAAACTTCTTTAATATATTAGCCTTAAATTAATATAAATTAATTATATTAATAAATTCTATATTTAACCTTTAAGAGCTACCTCTACTTAAGTTAATTTAATATAATATAGAATATACTAGAATTATATACTAAATCTTAGATTTTAATAAGTATAAATAAGTAAGTTATTATTAATAAGGTTTAGCTTTTTAAGCTACCTTTTATTTTTAATAAGTACTTTTAGTACTTAAGCTTTAATTATTAAGAGGCTAGCTTTATAGTAAAGTAATAAGCTTAATAAATATAATTATTAAATTTATTATAATATAAATAGCTTTATTACTATAAATAGGCTTTTAATTAAGTAAAAGCTTATATATTAAATATAGTAAGAAAAAACCTTTTTTAAATTAATATAGATAATTATTTTTATAATCTTAAGAACTAAGTTATTTATATTAATTATATTTTAATTATTAATTAAAAGAACTATATTAAATATTAATATTTTTAGCTTTTTACTTTAAATTAAATTAAGAGAAATTAATAATAATAAGTATTCTCTTTTAGGGTTATAGCTAACTTATATATTAACTAGCTCTTATTAAAGTTTTTTTAAGATATTAATACTTATACTTAAGCTTTATATATAATCTTAAAAGTTTTTATAGTATTAAAAAGGTTTAAGTATAAACTATAGCTTAATTTTTTTAAGATATATATTAAATAGCTATAGCTTATAGTTATATATATAGCTTAATCTTAGGATATTACCTTTATATATAGTAAAAAGAAATAAATAATATAAATATTTAAGTTTTTATAATATTAAAAGTTTAAGTATTTTTTTTATTATAAATAAAGGTTATTTAATTCTAAGATTAAGCTATATATATAATTATTATATATAGTTTTTTAAAATATAATTATAGCTTATATTTAAAC